TATAAAAATATTAATTTATAATAATTCAAGGTCATGTTGTTGCAAAATATCTTTCGTAAAAGAGAATTGTTTTCAGAATGTGAAAAAATATTTATAGAAATGTTCATTCGTAATTTAAAATCATTTTTAGTATATAATAATAAAGTATATAATAATTACATATTTTTATAAATCTGGTTCTACGAGTATAAATTTCAATAGAACAACCAAAAATGAAAAAAATTTAAAGATTTCTCGTTTTCAAGATATAAAACATGTAGTATATTAGCCAAATATATAATTTAATTTTGATGAATCTCGATATAAAACAATACAACGATACAGCGAATAAAACACGTGCACCGTTTTAAATAGCTCGCTTGTATTACAATGTTCGAAACTAGCGATTGCAATAGACTAAAATAATAGACTTACATATTTCTCGCTTGTACGAATCAATTCAATATTGTAGTTATTATATCGGACAATGAGAAGAGGCGTCTTCAGAATGCAAATGCGCGATGTATCAAATAGTGTTGGCCTGTTTCAAAGTTCAAAGGTATCGGTGCATTGTTACTACATTGTCACCAATTTTTTCGTCATAGAGATTCGAGTTTGTTTCAATATTCGATATCTCGTTCAAATTGTGACTATGAACATGTTTTGATCTTGTGGGGGCGTATAATACGGAATTTAATACACAGCTTTGAATGAATTGCAAAATGTAGATAATATTTAATCATTTTTAATTCTAATATTAGAGTAATTTTATTTTTAAAATAAATAAAAAAATTCATATGATAATCAAGCATAATAAAACAAAAATACATTCATGATCAGAGTTCTTCTTTATATATATATATATATTTATATACACATATTTCTAGAATTCTTTCATTTATGAGTGAAGGAAAAGAGCACATTGCCATAGTTTATTAACATTATTGATAAAGATCTCAGATTTTCTTCAAAAAATTCTTCATTAGTTTAAATTTAAATTTTATATATAATTCATTTTTTTTTTCAATATAATCAAAATATTTCTTAACAGTTTCCATTTCTACTATGTTTTAAATTCAATATCCATTCTTAGTATAGGTTGAAAACCGTTGCTTGATATTTTATTATTTTACTTCAATTTTATAATATTTCAAAATATGCAAAAGTAAAATGAAAATCAATTAATTTCCATAAAAATAATGGAATATTTCATCGAATACAAATATGTTAATATATCAAACAATAGTTATTGGTTTGTTCGGTTAGGTTGGAGTCATTATGGAACACAGAAACACAATTATTGCTGACTATATTTAGAACATCAAGGCACACCGCGAGAATATTAAATTTTAAAAACAGTATCCTTAGTATCATGTATCATGTAAAACTTATTGCTAATAATTGATCGTACCGTTATCGGGCATCACGCGAAATATAGCGAAAAAAGTTTTACATTCGAATATTCAAATTATACTGCGAATGTTTCGATCTCCTCCATCATTATAATTTGTACCGTATCGTAACGCAAATTCAAAGATCCCTTCCAGGCTCCGTTCATCTTTTGAAGTACTCAATTATTCGAGTCAAGAATATTCGAGTCTGTTTACTCTATTTTCTCGTTTCACAACATGATAAATTAATTATAAATTATAAATTTCAGAATTAAAACATTTAGAATTTCATGGCGCGAAATTCAATATTCTGATTGCATTTTTAAATATTTTGCCTTTTTAGTTTAAAATTATATTTAATAAATAATATTTAGATTTATAAGAACAAAAATTAAGTTTTGAAAAAGAAATGAAACTGTAATAAATATACTTATTATAAACGCAATTGTTTAATAATTGTAATTTGTTAGTAAATTTAATTTTAATAAATTTAAAGTATATTCTTAAGTATAATTAACTTTAACTTTTTATATATATAATAATTATATAAAAATATTTTTCACTTATGATTTGAATCATTTAAATTTATATTAAATATTCATTCAGATTTGAATTCAATAACGATTCATTGAAAAATAATTTAGTACAAAATATTTACATCCAATGAAAGTTCAAACTTATTTGCGAATCGAACTATTTTTCGATTTCAAACAATTATGAGAGAGAGAGAGAGAGAGAGAGAGAGAGAGAGAGAGAGAGAGAGAGAGAGAGAGATCATTTTATCTCTATGAAACATCTATTTTTTCCCTATATAGAGCCTTAGAGCTGGAATGTAGTATGCGTATACACCACACACAAAGTCGATCGTCTATCGGAAGTCTAGGCGTGCGTGATAGATAATCGTTATGTAAGAGGAGGCTTGAAGGCTGTTGGCCGCCAGACTCTGACATGCAACGAACGTCGCATGGAACTGGGGAACGCCCTGACTCTCGAGGGGCCCGCGAGCCACTTGGCGAACTTCTTTTTGTATTTATGATCCAGATAAAGAAAGTTTACGATTTAGATAGGATCGGTGATGTCGACGGGGCCGAAGTGGTAACCTGAAGCTGCGAAACAGAGGAGAGAAGCGTTTGCATGCCGGAGGCGCAATACTATGCCTTTCTTGTTGCCATTTCTGCGCGTAATAATAGAGCGAGCGCCCTCTTTCTAGCTGCTTGTACACGACCGTCGTCGTCCAGGTGCGTAATTATTTTGGAACGACACGCGATTCGTTCGGACTTTAGTAAAGGGGAGTTTTCTTAAGTGGTTTTTGAAAGTGATTTCTATAGTGGATTTTCGTAATTAGGTCTCTATCGACTGTTTTTTTTTTAGGTTAGTGTAAGTGCGACGCTTGAGTTTTGATATGAGAGTTTTCTTAACTGATTTTAAGAATAATTGATAATTTTTTTGCATTTGTTTAGTAATAGTGTTTTCTTTTTTTAGAATAATATTATAGATTTTATATTTTATATATATATTTTGATTGTTTAGAATAGGATTTTAAGTATTTGAATAGATTTAGGTTAATTTTGAATTAGCTATAGAATTGAGATATTGACAGAAATATTTTCTACGCTGTATATTTTATTTGTAAATATTGAATATAGGTTTGAATTAGTTTGAATTAACCTAAATTTCCAAGATATGCGTAAAAAATATTCTATGTTGTATATTGTATTTGTGAATATTGAATGTAGTTTGAAATAGATTTGTAAAAAATTTAGGTTAGATAGGTTTGAATTAAGTTTGTGTTCGAGTTATTACAAAATATGAAAAAAAAAAATAATCATATTTAATTTCTTTTTTTCTCTTTTATATCCTTTTGTTTATTTGTAACTTAGTTAATACTAAGTTAATACTAATCATATGTTCAAATTTCATAATGATGAAACATTATTAATATCAGTTGTATAAAATTCGTATTTCAGACAAAATTGTCTCAATGATATCACGTGTCATAAAATCATTAAGTCAATTTAACTTTCGAATTGTGGCGTACTTTACGCTTATTGCCAAAACATATTTAATTTATCGTTACAAGCTATAATAAAGTCTCCCACGTCTTTGTATATTCAGTCTTCGTGTTGTTTGACCGGATTCCAAGAGTATTTTTATCTTGGAAACTCGTTTACTATTAGATCTAAAAAATGAAAAAGGAAAAAAAAAATAAAAACAAAAAGAATTCTGAAAGAACCGATAAATGGATAATATAATTAATAATTTTAAGGGTGAATATAATAGGTTAGAAATTGTATTTCTGATGTGTTGATAATAACCAGTTTATTTAAGTAAAATTAGATTCCATAATTATGTAAATGTGATAAAATAACTATGTTACGTAAATATTTTAACAGTATTGCAAAATATGCAGGTGGTCGAATATAAGAGATCTAAAAGAAGAATAAAGTATTTGATTTTTCATAAATGAAGCTAAATTATAGGTTTAGATTATGTCATAAATATAAATTATCTGAATCGAAGATAAATTGTTATATAACATTTTGCTTTAATAATATCATAAATTTTATTTGATAATTATGCAAAATTCTTGTCTTTTATTTAAACTTTATAAATAAGACATTAAACAATTCTTATAAAAAAATTCAAATATTAAATTCTAAATATTCTTAACTATGTAAAAATATAATAATATTAGAAGCCATAAATTGATTTAAAATGGACCAAATGAATCAAGTGATATAAAACTATAAATATCAAATCATATTTCCCTTTTGTTTTTTTTTTTTTTTTGCATAATAGTACATAATTCATAAATTTCTTACGATAATTGATTTCTTTCATTTAATTTTTGTTATTTTGATCGATAACTTCGTTTATTTGTTTTAACTTAGAAACTTCTTGAATCATAAATGTAACGAAAAGTAATGCAATCCATAGAATCATATTACGAATTATCTAATTCGTTGGTTTCTTTTTTTTTCTTGTTTTGTCTTTTTCATTCTTTTTATTATACTTTGTATCACATGCTTTTTATTCATATGTGCACATTCGAATATTTGCAGTCGTCTTGTGATTAAATTGTTTTTATTGTTGATAGATGCCAAAATATAAAAGGTCAAAATGCAACAGTTTTTTCTGACTTTCATCTTCAACATCTCTCATATGATAAGTTTTTTTTTTCATTTTTTTTTAAATAGTTCATTATAATTCAGGTTTTTTTTTATTTTGATAAATTATAGTTTTTAAAATAAATAGTTTATATATACAATATTTAGTTTATATATACAATATTATTGGAATTCAATATTTATTAAATTCAATATTCATCACATTTTTTTCGGCAAGAAAATATTTCAATATTCATCCAAAACTCCATATTTGTCATCAAAAGTTTATAGATTTTTAATAAAAATTCAATTTTTGCTTTTAAAATTTTATTTATTTGAGATTTGAAAAATACGATTATTTTTTTCATTAACTTTTCTTAGAAAAATTGATTGTATATTCGTCCACTTCGATATTAACGACAAATATAGAGATTCCACTATACGTAAAAATAAATTTATTTCTATTAATAGTACCTATCATACGAGTTTCTTGATTTTAAGAACACTTCGAATTTTTATACAGGAAGTCGAGTTCCCCATATCGATTAAATATCGATGAATTGACGATGTATCGACAAGATCAGCCAGTGGAATCATGGTGGTCATCACGCTCCATTTCTTTCGACCAATTGCTTTCGATGATCGACTATGGCGAGCTCGGCGCCAAAAATAATTGCCAGACCTCCGCGATTGCAAGGCAGAAAGCGAAACGAGAGCGTTTCTTCTTCCTCGCTTCATGTGTATACGTTACGCGACTGTGTTGTTGCCTTCCTGAACCCATCCTTTTATTGTTTTTATTTTCTTCACCTTGCATGGAGCGGTACAGTGGTAACTTCAAGGGAAAGGTGAGAACGTAGAAATTTTTTGTTTATTTGGTACTTACCTTTACAAAAAATAATAAGTACCTTTCCTTTTTTTTCTTTTTATTTTTTTAATTGTAAGTACAAATTTCTGCGTTACATTTCTTTTTAGGATTTTATATTTTATGTATATATATATTTAGATTAGAAAGTAAAATATGTAAAATATAAATATTGCAAATTTTTATTTGTATCATATTTAATTTTAAAAATATATTTTTTTAAATTATTCGATGTATTATTTGGTCATTGCAAATATATTTCCATAGTTTAATTAATTGAAGTAAAGTTTAGAAAAATATGTTCAGATAGATTATGGAACTATTGAAGTTCAAAATTTGTTTATTTTCATCATTGATTATGTCGATAGATTCATTATTGTATTGTAACATAAATGTAAGAAGAGATTTTCGTGTCGTAAGAGAGAAGAGAGAACGTTTTGCGCGTCAAAATTTCAACACATAGGTTAGGATGACGATCATCCACATTTCCTGTGTTCGTTCTTTCTATTAACAATTTTGGCTGAAAGCCAAATCTTGTGATCAGTGTTTCAAATTTCTCTTCGATGTCATTAACGTGAATTTTGTCTTCTTGTTTACAAACAAATCGATGATTGATATGAATAATTAAATTTACAAATCTAAATTAAATCTCTTTCGAATTTTAGAAATATAATATGCAGTATTGAAAGTATTTTTAACAAAATATCTAATCCAAATTTAAACTAACATAATCTGAACTTATTCCAAATTTTACTCGAACCTAACCTAAATTTGTCATTCAATTTAATCTAAACTTAATTTAAAATATAAAAATAAAAATTATTTTTACATATATTTAAATCTAATATAATTTCCTATACTTAACCTATACTTCAATCCAAAAAATATGATATAGATATAGTATGCGAAATATTTTTGCATTTGAAACGACTGTTATATATAAGAAAAATTATTCAAAATAATGAGATTATTAATGGAGGAAAAATATATGGAGCATGTTTTATGAACACTTATATTCTACAATCATTAATAATTCTTTGTTTTTACATAACGTAAGCGATAAATATAGGCGGACAGCTGAGTTATATCATTAATTCAAAAAGGTGCAACTTAATTACGGGGTTAACTTCCAACGAACCATTAATAGATTTTTTTTTGTGCAATCAGACTTATCAAGGCATATTAAGAATATATAAATCACTTATATACGCCATCTTTAAATACCTCCTTTTTATCATATTAACCTATCATTGAATAATGAAAATATATATATTATTATACCATTCTAGTTATATACATATCTATTATCTATATTTCTAAATTTAATATATTTCTAAAAAATTAAAATTTATTTTAATTTTTTTTAATGCTATTTTTTAATATTTCTAAAATTTAAAAAAAAAATGAAATTCTTCACAACTTTCGAAATTCTCAAAATTTTCGAAGACAAAAAGCAAGTTTTTTTCGAGAAAAATTAAATCTTACACAATATTCGAAATTCTTAAAATTTTCTTCTCAAATTTTCAAAATTATTTCATCTAGAAATTTTTCCTAAGAGAATGAATATTGTATGAAATCTTCTAAAATCTTCCATCACGCAAAGGTTGAAAGGGAATTGAAAATAATCTTAAGGAAGGCCAATAAATCCAACTTATAGAATCGAAATAATTATAAAAATAGGAAGACTCGGGTTATTTTCGTTCAAGGATGCTGCTACGTAGGATTACACGATATACGATGAACGATGAACGTAATTCGAAGCTATTACAACAACAGCGTTGTAATAGCGGTTGTAAGTTTAACTGTGGCGGATAATAATATGATTGTACGTCTAGTGCTCGACCCCGGGAACCGTTACAACCGCTGAAGAAGCTTCACGTTCACTGCTCTTCGTCGTTGTGTCGCTAAGTTTATACGAAACGAAAGCTATAACGAAAAATAAATTGACGAATTTCTTTTTAACATTAATATTTTGGATATTGTCAGTAAGAACTTTTTAAAAAACATAACAATATGGACAGCCAACTGTTTTTTTTGTATTAAATTGAAGTTGATTGAATTATTTATTTGATAATTATTAATATGGATTATAATTTTAAACAGAAATATTTTAATATATATTTTACTATATATCGTATTTTTAGCTTTAGAATAAATTTAGATTAAATTTAGGTTATATAAGGTAGGTTAAGATTGATTTAAGGTTAGGAGATATAATTCTAGATAAAAACATTTTAAATATTAAATACTTTAGAAATAAATTTGAAATAAGTAAAGTAAGTTAGGATTATAATTTTAAATAGAAATATTTCAAATACTAAATATCGTAATTTTAAGGTTTGGAATAGATTTGGCTTAAGTTCAGGAATATAGATAGATAGGATAGGTTAAGATAAGTTTAATTTAAAGTTTTAATCTCTTCTGTACGACATTCGCTTATGTTATAGATTACAGATACTAAAGATAAACTCAACAATCAACCTATTCATTTCTTAGCTGCTGACTAAAATCAACAATCGGAGAAATGTGTAATTTACTTTAATTATTTACTATTAAATAAATATTAAAAAGAAACAAAAATTTTAGTATTCACCTACTTTTATATAAAATAATAGTATACGTATCCAAATTTTTATTTATCATCTAATTTTCCTCTCTCTTAATTAATTAAACCATTCAATATTATATTAAACTATTTTCATTTTAACATTTATTATTCAATTTCAAATTCTTGTCACCAAATTTTTATCATCTAATTTTCCTCTAATTTTTTTCCTCAAATTTTTCCATTTATCATAACATTCAATATCCATTATACTAAATCATTGTTCCATTTTGCCCCAAGGATATTTGAACAGAACTGGGATTAATTTTTTTGAAAATTTCGTGACCAAGATAACGGTGTATCGTTCATTAACGCCACCGCGTAAATTCGTTTCTCAGGTTAGTACGGGAAGGTTGGCGGTCGTGTATCAAGCGGAAGTGAAAGATTTACGAGGAGATACGTGCAAATGGCGAGGAGATGAGAAAATTTATACTACGCTGCGCCTAAGATTCGATCCGTTGGCCGCGAATTGTATTCAAATGACGATCGTGAACCCTGTGCGACCCCTCGCGTGATTACGAAACTATACAGAGGGACACATCGACTATCGCGCCACGTGAGATCACATGCTATCACGTATTGCGTATGAAATCTGTTGGAAACAAATTATTACGATCCTGATTTCACGTCATTATGCGCGTTGTCACTCGTGAAAGGGTATCGTGGTTTTGTTCTCACGTTTCATATGGATGAAAATAATTCTAACCTAACCTGATGAAGAATTCAGGAAGCTAAATGTAAGATGTATTCCGTGAAAGTGAATTGATTCGAGAATTTCATTTTCAAGAAATTTAATTTCTAAAAACGATTAATTCGTATTCTATCATTCGTAAATTTTATAATTTTTCATTCGTGAAAAGATATCGTAGTTTTATTCTCATATTTCGTATGGATAAAAATAATTTTAACTTAACGAAGAATTGGCTAAGGAAATCAAATGATGTTATATTCTTTTGATTGATTCGTGAATTTCATTTTCAGGGGATTTCATAATTTTCAGTAATTTGCAGCTTGTATTCTTTAAATATATTTATTGATGAAAGTTAAGCAATAGATTGTATTGTTCATAAATTTCTTTATATTTTATATCTCTATTTTATGTTTATGTAAACATATTCGAAGAAAACTTATTGATATGTTGATTGATTTTCTTATGTTATTTTTAATTTAAAAAAATTATAAATATAAATAAATTCGATTAGTTTATTTGTCTTAACTTTTACTTTTATGAATATATGTTTTTTAACTATTGAATAACTACACTACGATTTTTTACACATTTTTGTAAAATTCAAATATAAAAAAAATTTTAAATATAATTTATATATATAGAAAAAGATATATACAAAATTATTCAAAGTATATTATGCATTATGATATTTAAAGAATATAGACATATCTCTTTGTAAGATTCCATTTTTTCAATTATAATAATAACACGTGATATGGTATTATATCAATAAACTTCTACTTAAGATTATAAATTCGAATTAAAAATTTCTTATCTATTCTATTAAAAGAATTTTTCAAAGCCAACCGGATTTTTCGACATATCTGCTATTGATTTAGATTATAACATAACAATTTTATTAATAGAGAATTATTAAAATCAAAAATTAATCGATGTTAAAACTATTTAGTTGAGTATATATTGCCTTTAAATTTACAAGTTTTCACAAGAAAGTTTCTCTACTAATGCATAATTAATTTTCCTCGTTCTTGGCTCACTCTATCACGCGGGTGACTTCAGTTAAATATATGGGATAGTTCGCTTTAGCTGATAAGGAACGTGTATTGTGTCAATTAAGCGAAACATTGAGAAGCTAAATTTATTTCTGAGCCGTAAATTTTTTTGAAAAATCGGCGACCATATTTCAGAACTTATAACAACACATATATTTTTTAAACATCAATAGATTGATAAATGCAAACATTTCGTAATTCTAACAAACTAGATTATTATTACTATCAATTTCAATTTTTTTACTTTCAAAAACTTAAAATATATATCTCTTTCTCTCCCTTTACACAAAAAACACTTACTCCTTAGATAAAATAGAATCAATTTTCAAATATTCCACTTTCAATTCTTCCAAACAATTATCCATACACTGTTGTAATTATTAAAATTTCTTAATTCAAATTTTCTTTTTTAAACCTAATTCTAACAATTCTCAATATACTTACTTTCCAGATAACTAATTCTACTTCTCAAACATTCCGTTTCCAATCTTTCATCGTGCACTACATAATTATAATTATGAAAAATTCACAATTCAAGTTCTCTTTTCTAAATCAAATTCTCATAAAACTTCTAAGTCCTAAGATTCAAATAATAAGAAAATTAGTAATCAATCGAATAACGAAATTTCGGTAAATTTGCAGGCGAGCACCGAGAGCCGAGAGGCGGAAGAGCAGGGTAGCAGCACGACCTCGCCCTCGGAGGGCAGGCACGCCGACGGGACATCCGGCTCGTCCGTCCTCGAGATGGGCAGCACGGATTCGGCGGGCAGCGCCCACAGTGGCGGCCCTTCCTGTGGCCTGGTCAGTTCTCTTTTTCCGAGCAGCTGCCGTGGACGAGCCGAGGCGTTCGCCAGACGCCTCCACCGACGGCTCACGTCCCTAGGTGGCGAGAACAGTTCCCAACGAAACGAAGAATCTCCCTCGTTGCCCAAAGAGACATCCTGGTTGCGCTCCACGACCACGGCCAAGTCCATCATGAACAACACGACCAACAATCACGTTCTCCAGCATCAACCGCGCCACAATCCTGATACGGATCTCTGCTACGACTTCGATCTCGAATTCGAGGATGGCCTCAGCTCGCCCGCGGAGGAAGCCACCGCGGCAGAAGTGGCGGATCTGGTGGTGAACCAGGAGGTATTGAAGTCGAATCATCACAGCATCCATCACAGCTCGCCCAATGGGTCCAAGGCAGTGCTCTCCAGCATAGATTCTGAATCTGGCTACGCGTACGCGTCCCCGTTGCTAGGCACATCCCCCGACAGCGATTCCTCCGACATCTTCTTCGATCCGGAGTCGTCCGACGTGGAGAAGTCGAAGAACGAGATGTTCTTCGATCCCGTGACCACGTCCGACAGCGAGATCACCACGTCGAATCTGTCGAACGGATGCGACACCAAGGCGAAGAACGCCGCTTCCTACCGCAGAAAACTGGACTTCAACGTGATGGAACATTCCGAGGACACATCCGAATCGAGCGCCTCGTACAGGAAGAGCAACGTGGTGTGCGACGGCAACAAGGAGACGAGGAAGAACGACACCTCGGTGTGCAGCTCGGAGGATTCGAACGACAGAACCTCGCAGGAAACGTCCACGTCGCCCAGCCACGAGTCGCTGTGGAGCACGTTCGACGAGAGCACTGTCTCCCTCCAGGACGAAAGTCCCTCCAAATCGAATGTTCCTGGCTTGAACATGCAGAATCGGTTGCCCAAGTCGCATTCCGATTCCGAGATACCCGTAAACGGATCGAGGATCGTGATCGGTTGCTCGTTGAACAGGAGAGACGAGACGGTGGTGCAACACGCCGATGGTACCGACGAGGTCGATTTCGTGAACGGTTTGTCGGAGAATGGGAAGCTCGAGGACATCAAGAACGCTAGGAATCTTGCCAAAGAGGAGTCTCCGGATTCGTCCGATACATACGAGGAGGATCTCCCTTACGACGAGGAGAAGCCGCAACACTCGAACAACGTCCTCAAGTTGGACGAGATCGACGGTGGAAACGAGACGGTCGACGATCGTTCCACGTACACCGGCACGAACAGTATCCCTGGTGCTTTCACTCTGGAATATCCCGTATCGGACGGGATGCTCGAGACAACGAAGAACGAAGTACAAATAGAGAACGGAACTGTGACGAATAGCAGCGACGAGGACAAAATGTGCCTTCTGCTGCACAAGCTGGCGACCAGTCCAACTGTGAAGGACGACGTTGTCCGCGTCGTGGATCAGGAGCCACGGAAAGACAACGTTGAGGAGGAAGAGGAGGAGGAAGGGGAGGAGGAAGAGGAGGAGGAGGAGAGACCACAGAAGATCAGACGAAGTTCTTCTTTGAAAACGGGAAAAACTCCACCAGGCACTCCTGGCAGAAAGAAGATCGTCCGATTCGCGGATGTGCTAGGCCTAGATCTCGCCGACGTGCGCACCTTCTTAGACGAGATCCCGAAAATTCCTAACTCAGCGTATAGCGACTTGATCTACGACGATATTTTCCAGAAGGACACTAGCCCCGTTAACACCTTGCCGAATTCCAGCCAATGGGGAGCCAGATACGTAGAAAGCAGGCGTGGCTCCGCCTGCGCGATCCCTCCCCGCAAATTAGACAGAACTTTGGTGCCTCTGTTCCAGCAGCCTGGCGGCCAGCCGAACTTTCTCGACTTGGTTCGGGAGCGTCGCGTGTGCCTAGAGAACGTGCTCGTTCAGGATCCCCTCACGTTCTGCATCCAGGGCACTGTCCGCGTGATCAACCTCGATTTCCATAAATCGGTGCACATCAGATACACGTTGAATTCGTGGCGTAATTTCAGCGACCTGCAGGCCACCTACGTGCCTAATTCGTGCGACGGTTTCAGCGACAAATTCTCGTTCCTTCTCTACTGTCACACGTTGCCAGTCGGCCAGAGACTCGAATTTGCCGTTCGATTCCACTGTAAGGGAGAGCAGTACTGGGACAACAATGCTGGTTTGAATTACTGTTTCCAGTGTTTGCCAGCTTCGCCGACCGTTGGTTATATACCAATCACGGCACAAGCGAACCAGCATCATCACGATTGGTCATCCGTGTTTTATTGATTAGCGATTGATTATACGATTACCGTGTGCGGTGCCCGCACGGATTGCGTTGTGGGTGTTGGTCGCCACGTGGACGTACCACGACCGGAGACGAAGAGTCTGAACTGATGAGGAAAAAGGCTAACGACAGAGGTAGACGAAGTGGAGCAGTTTCGATGGAGAAGGGAAGAGAGAGCCTATGGTTGTATAAACGTTCCTAGAGTACATATATATACATATATATATATATATATTTACTGTACATATTTGTCTCGCGTCGATCGAGAGGGAACTGGTAGCAGCATCGAAGAGGGCAGCACTGGCGTCAATTATTCCTTCCTGCCGCGTGATCGCGTGGAAACTTGATACACTCGTTATAGACTGATTTTTTACACACGTTCGTTGTTCCTTGTTTTATGAGAATCCACAATTACGGTTATAGGTGGTGGTTTTTAGAAGGGACGCCGAGGTATTCTTGGGAAGAAGATGGGATTTGGAAGGCGAGCATGAAACATTCAAACTTCGTCCATGAAGAGCATGATTATGAGGATTATATTTTTCACGTTCCTAGAAAGTACCTAATATAATTCTACAAGGTTTCACGTCACAATTGAGCCTAATGTGTCTAAAAAGGGCACACACATCGACTAGAGTTGGAAATGTTATCGCAGAAGTCGCTTAAAAGGAGACTGTTTTACGAAACGAGACGTTCGTTGGAAGGATTTTTACTTTGAAAAGTGGTATCGCTTCGAGGGGGCTCTTTTTTCTTCTTTTTTTTTCCTTCCTATTTTTTTTTAATATTAAACGAGTATCGTTGAATTGATTCGTTAAAGTTTAAACAAATCTCTCTTGACGAACTTTTATCTACACAGAAAACATATCTGCTCGGCAAATTTTCGAGACTATGATGCGAGTTTTGTTTGAAATGAATGTTTCGTTTAGTTCAGTGACATAGCATACTTTTAGCAACGATAGATGGTACGAGTACTCGAAAAATAATTGAAAATACTTGGAAACTAAGTATTTGATCAAAATCAATTCGACCTGTGCCAATCTGATTTAGTGCCATTATTATGAAATTGGAAAGAATTGCAAGAATCGAGATAATATATCATCGTGTCTTGTTCGTAAGAACATTTCAAATGAAATGTGATAATTAACAATTATCACAAATATTTCTTTCCTGATTCCGAATTTCAACTATGTGATCGTCGCAAATCAGGGAAATCGAGGCCTGATCTATCGATAGATACTATATCACTGTATAAATCGTCGAATGTCAATCACAATTTTATTTTTATCACGCACATGAATTTCTATACTTGCCAGGATGCCAGAAATGTGACGAAAATTTATTATGAAACGAAAGTTTGTGCACTTTTAACAATGAATCCATCTTTTTGTTTCATTACTAATCAATTTTTAAATTTGTTTTTATAGTGCAGACACACTAGTCAAAAGTTTAGAATTATGTAAAGAATTATGTAATGTAAAGATCGAGATGCAAGATTTGAAGAAAAATTAGGTTAGAATTTTTTTTTATCTTGAAAAAGTCTTTCGCGAATAATTGTAATATTTATAATATTAATAACGTGAATATTAATAATGTGCAATTGAAAAAGAGATTCCAAATATAGTAATGCACTTTATATCGTGACTTAGATATGACATCGCCAAGATACTAATTTAATAAGGAACGATGAAAGAAAAAACGTTAAAACTGATAGAAGGCGCGTTGCTTGGCAACGTGACGTCATTACATGAATCGCATAGCGCATCTTATTGCCAAGTAACGTGCTCACTATTCTCTACTACGTTATTATCTAAATGATATCTGATATAGATATTGAGAATTGTATGGTTATCGTTTAATTAGTTATTTCTATAAATAGATATTCTTAGAAATGATGAATTGAAATATAATCAAATATTGTATAAAAGAAAAGAAAGACAATGAAAATTTCGCTCAGTGAAAATTTTGAAAAATTGTTAAGGATATTTCTACATCGATTAATTTCAATTTACGTTAATTAATTTTGATTAATAATGTTGATAGCAGGAAGAATAAAATAAAAAAAAATTAAAATTAAAATCGAAGAAATTTTCTCGATAATTTCGTTCATTTTTGCGCTTCCTGGCGTAATGCGTGAGTGATGATTCATTTTCGTTAAATCTCACTGTATGCTTAACCTATACTAGTGTTGTCTGCTTGATCCAAACTAGCAATTAGACGAGTCAAGCCGAGAACAAGATTATTCTGAGGACATTTTCAGCGTTTTGGCAACGATTCGAAAATGGTGAGTCACAATAGTGGGCACATTGTGCATTAAAAGAAGCAACATTAGCAATATTGTCTATTGTCACCTATATGAGTTTCGCATTTAGAAATATGATCGTGTTTTATTCTGTTTGAATAGCGAAACGATAAGTGACAACAGCAATTATTATATAACTCGATATCATCTAAATGATTAATAAGATTACGAGAATAATGAACCAATTTCCCTCGCGAGTGTATGTATATGATCGAGAGAAAAAGAAATAATAATCGAATAGCGTGCACAATTTGAAATTATATGAAATAATATATATATATATATATTTAGATTTCACGATATTTTTTAGTAATGTTGAGTAGAGATGGGTCGAAATCTGATTCTTGGATCTATAAAAATTTGTTGAAAGATCGTCAAATTCTCGAAACTTGGAATAGTTTTTTTTTTTTTTATTTTTTATCGAAAATTACTTTATTAAACTTTATTAAAATTTTAATTCTCGATAAAAAGTTCAAAGTAAGCCGTTTCGACTAGCAAAGTAACTTGCCAATTGGACTTTAACTATCCAATATCTTTGAATGGCAATTAACTTGTCAAATTTTAGATTTTGGAAATTTAATTTTTCTTTCATAAAAATTATTCAAATGAAATTTCATATAATGAATTTATTTAATATATTATCTCTAATCCAAATTTGTAAAAATTGCAAATCTCGAAATTTCTTTGGATATTTCAAGGTTTCGAGTATCATCCCATCCCTATTTCCTAATATTAAGCGTTTCTTTTGTAATTCCGACCACTGTTACCATATTTGACCATCGAAGGTACAATGATTAAAGGTTAAGTAGCAACAGCAATTATAATATTAACAAAGAAACGAACAAATGATATTAAGATTACACTATATATATATATATATTCTTAAAATATTTTTTGTAACAATTTTCATCGTGAACAACAAGTGCTTTCTATACAGTACACATAGAGAACATTATACAAATTGTACATAACTGGCATCAGTATTGGTGGCAAATGTGTCTCGAGGAATAGATGATTGTTTTCTGTACAAATTAATCAATTTTTAATCATATATATATATATTATAATATTTACAGTTTCTCCTGAAAGTTTGTTATACGCAAGTTTTTATTGTATATATATATACATATATATACATATACGTATATATCGATATATTTTAAACGATGATATATTTACAATACGATTATCGAATTCTTAATTATCGGATATCGTGTTTTATTTTTCCGTGTTTTTTCTCTTGTATATGGCCAATATGGATGTTATCTAATTTTTATCAAACGCATGGATATCGTTGCATTACTATTTTATTTTCTTTTTATTTTATATATTATTAATATGAGGGACAGAATACTTATTAATTGATTCATTTATGTAAATGTTTCTTTTTCTTCTTATTCTTGTATCAATAAGAGGAAATATTTTTAAATTTAAAAGAGATATTTTATGTAGAAAAATGAAATTTTTTCTTTTTTTTTTAAATATTTGTTTCTTTTTTATGTGTTTTAGTGAAAACATTTTTTTTAGCACTTTTTTTAAATCCATTGTTATTACATGTTAAAATTTCATATTAAAATTATTTTATTCAATTTTTATATAAAATGTAGATTCATGGCTTAATTATTAGATAAAGTAATTAAGAGTGAAATGAAATAGAAAATTGTGCCATTAGTGATTTTTAATAGTAAATAAAAGTTCTATAATGGTATTTTAAAAAAAGATTGTATTGTAATATAAACCATTAAAGAATTATTGTTTTCATTGATTTTATTAACTTTTTTATTAATTTATTTTTTGTCCCTAACAATTCTCACAAGTTTCACTCTCAAATGTATTCATACTTTAATGTCTGTTAGAAATGTCTATCATATAGTTAAGTTTTCTGATCCACATTACTGTTCAAAAGTTTGGAAGCAATCATATTTTTATATGAAATAAAAAATCTTAATGAATAAATATTATATAAGTAATCACTAATAATAAATATTAACATTTTCTTTCAGCAAAGAAAAATTAATAGAATGTCTAATTTATTAATTTTAAAAATTTAATTCTAATTTGTTTTTTATTTTATTGTATTATTCACCAAATTTTTATTTATTTTTTAAAATTTCTTATTACTTCCAAATTATTTTTTTATCAATAGTGTGTGAATATATGAATGGATTAATGAAAATTTTTATTGAAAAAGTTAAATTTAGGCGCATAATAACCACCATTATTGAGGCCCTTTACATTATTCAACACAAAATCTATTAAAAGGAAACTTTTCCTATAGATTATCCTTTGTATATAAACACATCTTAAAAAAAAAAGGAAACAAAGTTAAATTTTATTCTGGTTAACTACAGAAAGGATATTCTTCCATTCTATTAGAATGATGGTTATCAATATTTATAAAGACAATTATATCAAAGTCATCAATTAAGATATTTTAATTATATGTTATGAAAAATAGAGTTTGATGTGCAAGGTATTTCATTAAGTCTGTCTACAAATATATATATATATATATATAGATATCTTTCATAATATTTTTGTAATATTTTTAATATCTTTTTTGTGACTCTTGTTGTTGTCAAAATTTGATATCTATATTCATGAAGCACAAATTGTTCAAAAGATAACACAGATGAAATAGGAATTGAATTAAAAATGCATAATAAAAGAATAGTAATCTTGAATGGTAAAAATGAAATAAGAAGAGACAGTCTACTGCCAGATATTTTCTGTGTTCAATTCAAAACTTTGTTTCTGTTCTTTGTTTCTGCATTTTCACTTCAAATGCATTATTTTGAAAATTTCTCTCTCTCTCTCTCTCTCTCTCTCTATATATATATATATATCATTCAAAATATATAATACTATTAATAAATAATTTTTATAAAAACATCTATTATTATTCATTAGCGCAAATTTTAATTTCAAATAATAGGAAAGATTTTTTAAATTTTTTATTATAGGATTTCTGAAATGTCTTACACATCAGATTTTAAAAACAAAATATGAAATGAAAGCAATTTATATTGTCCATAATTGTTGAAACTTATATAGAATACATATTATAAATTTTATAAATTTTAGGGTTTCACTCAAGAAAAATGATATAAATTTTTTAACATAATTTTGATTATTGTAAAATTGCAATAATATAAATGTAAAAAAATTGTTATGAATATTATGATCACGTGACATCTTGAATAAACCGGATATGAGTTATTTTTGTTAATCTTCGTTCGTATTTTATATATTGTCATCTCGTTCGTAAGATTCTTCATTGTGTAATGAGATCGATTTCCATCATTTTTTTAAGAATCTGCGTAATCGAGAAATTGAAACATGTATAATCTTAGTCTCGAACGTAGAAATATATTTTGACATCGTGCCATTTTTTTTTATTTCTTCACACGTTTTCGTTACGAATCCCTTTAATGTTTATATACTCATGATCATAAAGAAATTTGTTCGAAAATTGATCGTAATTTATATCTATTTAACCTTTATGTTTATTCTCAAAATTCTTATTCAATTTTTGATTAATCTAGTAATTTCTAGTAATTTTCTAGTGATAAAATTAAAAAGAAAATTTTTTTGATAAAGATGGACAAGTTCAGTTTTGAATAAAGAATACTTGGACATCTGAATAACTAAATATTGACATAAGGATTAAAAAAACGAGAAAATTGATTAATCAAAAATTAACATAAAGAAAATTCTTGTGCTTCCTATTAAGTTAAATCTTCTAGTCTTTTTAATCAGCGTGTAGTCATTTACAAGGAAAGGAATAATGATCATTAAATGGTATGAATATTTTCATTGCAATATATAGAAACTTTTTGAAATCTTATTTTGTCGTCGAAAAGACGATGTTCTACGTTCGAGATTGAACGAAGGGAAAACCCATAGTTATAACGGTAGTATATTTTTATATTCTAATGTATATGTAAGAATACAAGTTGCACCTCTAGTCCGTAGAGCCGTGAGCTTTCGTCCAATTACCGAGCCTTTTGCAGTTTTTAACAAAAAATGAGAAGAAAAAAAGGGAAAATCAATTAAAAAAATAAAAAAATCTACATTACTGAAGTGTTAAGGTGCGAAAAAAAAATAGAGAAAGAGGAAGAAAAATTTTATGTATATGTATGATATGTGTGTCTATATGTTTATGTATGCGTATAAAGTGTACGTAGTTTGAGAATGAACGGAATGAAAGAGAAGTAAAAAAGGATGGAAATACTAATATGGATCTTTCTGTTTATTTTTAATAGTTATTTTTACTTTATAATTTCAACTTGCTACTTTTAATCATTTAATATATCTGTTTCTTTCCTTTTTTATCTCTGCCTTTTCTGAATCCTCTTGCATTATAATTTATTAATTAGTAATGTCAATAAATTGAGATTATAGGTAATGGATTTTTTTTTCAAAATTTTATAATATTGAATCAAATTGAATCGATTAATTTATGATTATAAGAATAAAAGTTTATTCAATCAAATTTGTTACTACAATGTACTATAAAAAGATTTCACAATCAAATTTATCTTTATCAATTTTTTTTTCTTTTAGAAGAAAAAAATTATTCTGAGAAGTTTTATATATAAGATTTAAATTTTTTTCAAAAAAATATTTATTCTATTAAAAGTTATGTAATTATATTGATGAAAAATTTTGTTGTTGAATTCTTCAATTATATTAGTAATTAAACTAGTAAATTAATAATTTTTATTTTAAAATTCTATTAATTTCAAAATTTTATTAATAATATTAGTTTAATCATGTAGGAGGACACAGATCTGAAAGAAAAATTCCTATATTTATTGAATCATCGTTCTTTGCTTACTACTTTCGTTTCTCTTCCAAACTTCTTTTTCCTACGAAAAAAACACGCTTAAAGAATGGACAGCAAGATTAATTGCAATTTTTTTCTGTGAATGAGTTTTGTTTTTTTTTATGAATGATCATTTATCATTATTCATAAAGAAAGTTCGAAAGCGCGGATCTGTGGATAGGTGCTTGAATCAGAGCCAAGACTGATCGATACAATTTTCATAGACTTCTGCTTTTTTTTTTTATTTTTTGTCGCATAAATAATTGTAAATAATGTGAATTCATTGGGTTCGTGAACAATGCTTATGATTTATAATTAGACTGCGTATAATTATGCAAATTTGTATAAATATAAGTGAAGAAATGGAATTTAAATGTCGAGTTAGTTTAATATTTTGTATGTTTTTTTTGTTTATTATATGTCCTCTGTGCATTTTTGTCCATAAATGCATGTATTTATATATATACGCAGTCCAATAATTAAAGGACCAACAGGAAGAAAAATTAATTAGCAGACTACGGATGTTCGTTGCAAATTAAAATTTTTCATAAAATACATAAAATAAATATATCATAATATACTTCACTTTGTATATTTTATGTACTTTTTTCATATAACATATACTTGTACATTTTTTGCATATCCTAAATGCATCAATATCCGCAGTTTATTGATGAGTTACATTTTTCAAATTTTTACAAAAGAACATTATTAACTCATGATTAAAAGTAATTGTTATAATAGTTACATATTAATCATTAGTTTTATCAGTTCTTTTTAACTATTAAAAAAAAAAAAAATGGAAAATCAATAAAAATGAACTCATCAATTTTCTCTTCTTCTGTGCTTTTCAATTATAATTATACGATTCATTGAAAAGTTGACAAAAGGAACAAGATAATTAAGGGAAAAACCGCAAAGAGCGATGATATTCCGTTACTGATCCTGAAAACCTTATTTTTATATAATTATTCCATTAGCACAAGATATAGCGTGATTTCGAATTTAATAAAAATTTTCAATTCGCCATCTTGTTTTTACGAAAAAAAATATTCCAGGAAATTTCTTGATTAGTAAACTCTGCATTATTTTATCGATCATTCGAGCAGAGAATTATTATTCGCTATTCACCATATTCTGAATCACGTTATATCTTCCACATTGTTCCCTAAATATGAAACAATAATACTCATGAAAAAAATGTCTGTAAATGTCTGTATCCAAAATCTTGTTTTACAATTTTCTGTATTTCACAATGCAACATTTCTCTGTAAATGAGCCTATTTATATAGCTTTAAATTTCAAAGAAGGAATAATCTTATGAAAAAAAATTCGTCATTGATAACAATGTAATCGTTTCACTCGATATTTTCGATCGGTCGAAGGCCATGGTAGACGGTAATTACGCTCATCAAAATATTTTTTTTTTATTTTTTTTGTTTATTTTTTTTTTTTTTTTATGTCTCTATAGGGCCTGTGCGTAATCTGTACGATAGCATAAAAATAAAAGCGTCTCTTACTGTGCTTCCCTTTATCTACATTTTTAATTACTGTTTTGATTATTTGCGAAAGGTCAGTGATGTTGTATAGATATGAAATATATACGATTTATAGAAGAATAAGGTTGAAAAAAGAAAGAATGAAATTGTTATTTTCTGCGTATTATATTTATATTTATTTTGTACAGGAAAAAAAATACGAGATATTTTTATAAATTTGTTGAATCGATATGGTTATATGTATATGAATTTTGAACGATGAATTTGAAATACGGATACGATTATCTCTTATTCTCTTCGATGTTTTGCATTATTTACGCGGAAATACGTGATAGAAATCATGTTTCTTCTTCTACAGTTCCTTTGTAATATGTGAAACAGTGTTTCTCAACTTTTTTCCAGACGCGATTTCTCTTTTGTAATATTAGAATTATTTTTAAGCTTCAAAACGTATTTCACTCCTTAAAATAATTAAAATAACTTTAAAAAAAATAACTTTAGAAACTCTAAAATATGATATTGTAATCTTTAAAAAAGAAATTTATTCTTAACTTTGGTATCTGTTTGGTATTTTAACTTTTATAGTAATGAAAAGATGATTTTAGCAAAAATTAATATTCCAACACCTAAAAAGGAATATTTCAACTCTGGTACTTCAATCCTTGTATTCTTTTCATTAATGCCATATGACAATTAATATTCTTGAAATACAACCTTAATAAAAAATATTCGATCATCTTTCAAAATAATTTTTTCTTGAAATTGGATCGAAAAATTTTTTGGAAAAAAAATCACTTTAAAAGGATTATTTTATTAGACAGGCACAAAGAAACTTTCTACCAAGTAGAATTATAATTTATCATAATTAACAATTATTAGAAATTATTATCAAAAATAATAAAATCAACGATTATAAATCAGCGATTCATAAGTTGAGAACTACTGATATAAAGAGTCATTTATGCTGCTCAATAATTTGCGTTATGAAAATTACTTAAGAAAATTATCACGTTGCTTGAACAAGACTTAATTGAATTTTAACTGGACTTAATTGAACTTTTCATTGATCAAAAGTTAATTCATTAACTCCAACTCTCGTTTCACAAATAAATATCAATCATTTTTTTTTTGTTTTCGAAAGTGATCTCTGGATGTAATGTAAGTTTTACATGGAGTTAATCAAAACTGGTCATTGAAAAAGTTTTATTACAAAATGAAAAAAAGCAACGTTGCTTCAGACTGATAACAACAATTGCTAGGATTTTACCGAAAGAAAAATTAAAAAAAAAAAAAAAAAGAAAAAGGAAAAAGAGAGAGAATGTCATATGTGTATACAACAAAAATATACGTATTGTAGCTGATGTGACGATCAGTTCGGTTTTATAAATATCCTTTTTCCTTTTTTTTCTCCTTCCGCCGACGAAATTCTATTTTTAATCTTGTTTGTTTGGATGTTTCTTCTTGTTAGGTTAGTTTATATTACAAATTTTATTGTTACGTAGGGATGAACGTGGCGTGGGTGTAATAGTGTTTTAGATTCTAATGGAAGGGTTAATTGCGGTAGAACACGATGAGCGAATGTTTGATGGAGGAATGAGAAAAGTATATCTACACAAGTATAAATAGAGACGTATCTGTAACACATGTTCTATATATGTTATTGAGACAATAAATGGAAGACCGATCGACAGTTTCTTTTTCTTTTCTCCTTTTCATCCTTTTCATATATCTTTGAAAGAAAATTTTTTTTATGGGATAAATCTTTCGGACTGCGAAACAGAATACGAAAAATAATCTATCTGGTATATTGCTCTCTTCACGTATTTATTTTTCTTCATAGCAAAAAATATTTCAGATAAAAGTTAAATGATTTCGAGAGGGCATAATATGATGCAATTACTTTTTTAATAAAATCATATATTTTGAAATGCATCAGTAAATGTAGAATATTCTCCATAAAAAATTATTAAAATATTTATAATCAAAAACTATTAGTTTAAGAGATATTTAATATTTTCAAAATTAAGATATTTCAAATAGTTATATGGGACATTAAGTATAAAATAATTTTCGGACAGCATTCTAAAATTACAATGAAAATGAGATTAACCTCATATTATCTTTCATTTTGTATACATTACAAAGAAATTTTAAAGAAAATTTCCTTCAAATTCATAAAAAAAAATCTTTTTGTTAAGCTCATCTATTATATATACACATTGGTTGCTGCTCGTCGTGACGTGTTTACATAGTTTTTGTTGAAATTTTAGTGAAAAAAGTTTATTTATTAAAAAATTCAATTTATACATGATTCCTTATTATTAAAATATTTTATTTGTATTTTACGTATAATCAATTAATGATTGCAAATTACGTAAATCAGATGCAAAAACAAGAAAAATATTTTTAAATGCAATCATGCAAATTTGAGAATTATTATCAATAGATGTGACCTGGCAATCTGAGGTTAGTTTAAACCTTTAATTCATCACTTGAATTATAGATAGAATGAAGTGCTATATAAGTATCATGAATCTCACGATATCGACAATGTTTATTTCAATGTAATTTTTCTTTTTTTTTTATATTGTCTACATTTAAAATATTTAAATCTCTAAATATAGATAGATCGATTTATTAATATTTTGAATTTTAATTATTTAAAATTAAAATTATATCATAACTTATTATTTTAATAATTATGTATAATGTATAATCGTATTATCTATGGAAAATAATTTATAAAATGAAAAATAAATTATTCCCTATGTCAATCAGAAAATAATCGAGCGAACAGCTGAAAATAATTGAACTATACTCCTTCCGGTTAGGCCAACATGCCTTATATATTTTTAGAAAATATTTAGCGCTGCCAAAAGAAAAGACAACTCGTGTATCGAGTTTGCCATTGTTTTGCATTGCATAAGAGGTAGCCTTTCAAAACTTAATCTATATTTGTTATATATATCCACTGTTTTTCAACGAATTTTATTTGCAGTCGTGATTTTTGGTAATCGAGAATGACGAAATTATTGCCGATTGCATTACATCATTTTTTTTGTATCAATAAATTATTTATTATCAATTCTTGTCCATTAGTAATGAGAAAAATTACATTTTATCACGAGAAGATATAACGTCATGCACAATTTATCAAATATGGGCAGATACTTTTTGAAATTGAGTAATTTGAAATATTATTTTATTTACAACATATTATTTCATTTCATAATTTTATTCAAATTTATAATCATATTAAAGTGATATTATTTGAAATATTAGTGGAAAAAAAAAGAAATCAGTCAATTTATTCGGGAAGAACAAAAAATAAACAATATTGTTCAAAAATGGCAGCTGTTTATTACGAAAAAAAGAAAGTAAATAGTGGATTAAAAAAACGGCTTAAGTTTACATTAAAAATAAACGGCTATGTCATTTGGAAAGCAATATTCTAACGCAGTGTTTCTCAATCAATAGATTAAACTAAACCCAATTTTTAAAAATAATTGTATATATAAACAAGATACACATAATTTTATTTATAAATAATAAAATATGCATAACTTTATTCATATGATTATTAATTCGTATATTTACACTCTCAACGCAGTAAGTTCTTACAAAAAGATTGAGAAACGCTGCCCTAACAGTTACCCTGTGTGCTTCTGTTAAGATTAATTAAGTATCCCTCGATAAAAAAGCAATCTCTGTCTTTCTGATCAGTCTTTACAATGTTCTTCAATTATCATCTGTCAATTATCGAAGAAAGAAAGTGATCGAATAGCGCCATGATGTCGCGCGTTCATAAACACGTATCGCATTTTTTTACGCAAAACAACCGATGACATCCCGGTATTACAATAATAAATAAATATATTCTTGATGTCACATGCATCTCTTCGTAAATATTATAATTTCACGTTCAAACGATTTTATTCGACGATCACATCGTCTTACAATATACAGGGGAAAAGATCACAAAATAAGAAAATAGGCACTCGGCATTGAAGCGTCCCATTTATGAATTGAAAGCACTCCATTCGTTTGTGAATCACAAAAGATATTGCTTATTGGAACATTCGTTAATTCATCACATTTCGATCAATCTAATTAATTTTATAATTATAAATTGTGACAATCTTCTATGATTCTCGTTTAAATTGTTAATCTTTCTAATTTCTTTCACCATGTAAGTGAATTTTTTTTATGGATATCTAAAATTTGTTATTGTCTATTCTGACATTTTCCTTTTTTTTTTCTTTCTTTCTTTCTTATTTTCTATCAATAAGTAAAGCCAAAGTTTCTTGACACTTAAATACTTTTGAGATTCTTCCTATGTCGATGTGTATCGAAAGATAATTCGATGAATTATTTGTAATTAATACAAGTCTTAATGTTTTTAACATTTTTTTTTAAATTGAAAAATTCAACGAATTATCTATCGTTCTCAATGACACATGTTTTCTTTTTTTTTAATCGACGCTCTCGTGAGAAGAAAATTCGATGAGTTATTCATATACACTTCTACAAACTATTGCTTTCTAATAAAGGTGTAGTTTTGGTCAATTTCAACGCTCTCAACTGTTTGTACAATCGTTGTCTGCAAAACTGATAAAATTCGATTTCTCTGGTGAAATTGCTTCGCACCATGTCTTTCACTTCTTCGCTGACAGGTGGTTTGAAGAAATTCCGGTTGATTCTGGTAAACGCATTCACTTCGTCTAAAAAATAAAAATTATTTTGTTATTAATTATTTATTAGATTGCTGATATTTATGAAAAATTTTTATCCATAATTATTTTTAATGATATATTATTATATATTGAAATATTATAATTAATTAATTAATATTTAATAATTTAATATTAATAAGTTTCAAAAAATCAAAAAAAGAATTTGTTTAATTAAAGAAAAAGATAATGAGATGATTTTCTCTTAAAAATTATCTTTCTTTGATATTTGACATGTACAAAGCACGTTTAGTTCTGTGATAATTATCGGTTGATTGAGATTTACAGTTATATGCAAATAAAGGAACAAAAGAATTACCATAATAGACGTCAGTGGCGCCTCGGAAAAATCGGGGTATATAATTTTCCAATACCGTGAGAGTGCTATTTACGTCCTCGAGTACACCAACCACTGCGTAGTGTTTCTCCACTGCCATTTTTGCTCGTTCTAGGGCACCCATCGTGTTGAACGGGCTTCAAACAAACAATAATTGATAAATATAACAGGTAGTTGAATGATGAAAAAATAAAAACGTAGAATTAGTGGAATGATGAAGGTATGAATAATGTATAATGGATTGAAAGAATTTTTTTTTTTTTAATATTGTATTATGATTTTGAAAAGAGTAGAATCAATTTTTTTATGTAACATATAGAGGATTATTAAAATTCTATTATTTAATTTTACTAATTTATAATTATAATTTTTTAACATAAAGAATTATATTATTAAAATTATTTATTAATTATATATACTTTGAAGTTAATATCTTTGGAAAATAGATTCTAAATTAGATTCTGATTTAGACATTTCACTAAAATCCATTAAATTTTTTTCACAATCCAATTTTTCACAAGCAGAAAATAATTAGATAAAATATAGTATAGAATTATATTTTTTAATGAAACATTTTTATTAATTATATATATTAATTTACTAATAGAATCCTTCATGGGTCACAATTTAACTTTACATTAAATATAATTCATTCCAGAACAAAATTTCCATTAAGGAAACCATTTACAAATGTATAATTTCTTCCATCCATCCGTGCATCATGTATACACAAGAAGATAACAGTGGAATTTCTAGAGAGAGGACCTACGTGCATTTCTCGCTGTGGCCGCAGAAAAAAAGCGTTTGCCTGCGATGATCACCGATTCCCTCGTGAATCTCACCCTCGAGGTATCTGCATTCACGGTCCGCCTTAAGTACACAGGACTCGAAGTCCTTTTTCAGCCAGTTCGGATCCGGCAGTGGTAAGTCTGGAAATATTTGCTTTCTCTCCACGTAATACCAAGGTGCTCGCACGTAATAGTACCAGGATATCACTCTCTCAACAGGATCCCGGACTATGTTGATGTAAATTGGCTGAGGCAGGTTGAATCTGTAAGGAAAAACAGTCCTACGTCAGATATCTCGTGGGAATCTGGCTCACGTTACTTGCAGTTACATTAAAAATTGAATAATTGCATGAAATTTTCTTTAACATGTCACGAAACAAAAAATTTATTGACCGTTTATATTTGATGAAATATAAAGGAAATGAGCGAAATTTGATCAAGACATATTAGAGTTAAATTTCAATAAGTGAAATTTTATAAATGTATAATTTGATTTTTAACTTTTATTTAAGATTTATATCTACATATCTATTTTAATTTTTCTTTTAATAGTTATATTTTTCTATGTTTTATGAAGAAAATTTTAAACTTAACAAAAATTAAATTATATTGAAAAATAAATTAATTAAATTATATTGAATATCTATATTTTATAAATTTTATAAATTTTCAGATTTGATTTTCGATTTTTATTTATTTTAATTTTCAATTCTCTGATTTTTTTCAGTAACTATACTTTTCTATGTTATAATAATATGTACAAAGAAAATTCTAAACTCTCGATCGAACCATGTAGGAATTTAATTTCAATGCAATACTCCATAAATATAATTTTTATTGTACTTCGTTATTGTCGCGTTATTTAAAATTACAATTATTTAATTATAATATAAAAGTCATTTAATTTTTTAAAATACTTACTCTGTAAAATTTGTAAAACACACATGCTTTATATAAACAGATGGTTCTGAATAACTGCTAACCATAGTTGCAAGTTGAAGCTAAAAATATATAAATATATAAGTAACAAAATCTCTCAATTAAACAATTTTATAAATATTAGATTAAATATGATATATTAAATATTTTATAAATGATAATATTTTATGATAAATAATTTATCATACCTGTTCAATAGGCGCAAGTCGTATAGTTTCGACTCTTTGTACACGATCTCTGTTGAACGAGAAGCCATTCCTCAGGGATAACCTCCTCAACAATTCCATAAAGGTCTGAGAACCCACTTTTGGTACGCGATTGAAGAACAAAACGCTTCGATCCGCTCTTTTCGTGTTGTTGAGCGCATCGATGTCCAATACTTCAGTTTCTTTGTACTGAAATTAACAAAAAAATTTTAATATTCTGTTTATTGTTCATCTTTTAATCTAATATTGAAGATCATAAATCTCTATTTTCATAATAGTACTGAAACATTAATCTTAATTTTTGCAATAATTTATTATATATCTAAGATTTCTTTTAATTTTACTATCATTAAATTAAACATTCGAGGTCATTAAAAATCAGATGGAAAAAGCGAATATTGATTTTCGATAAAAATAATTATAAAAATGCAATGAAATCTAAAATAGGATGTAAACATAGATAACGATACTTGTATTGGAAATAAGAATTATTTTTCTTGGAATAATGCGAATGTATACATCAACTGCTATAAGAAATATAAAAATAAGAAATCTTGATGATGCATACGTCATCGATCTCAAATTTATTAACATAATTAATTAGTAATTTATATTTTGTTAAATTAAATAGAAGTCAAGTGAATATTAAACAGATATTACATTATTATAATTTTACCATATTAACATTAGCATAATTGATTGATTGCAGAAGTCAATGTCAATACTATATAATAGTATTAATTATATTAATATCAATAATATATATTATCATAATTTTTATTGATATTAACATAACATATTGATATTAACATAATTAGTTAATTACAATTTATAAATTGAATAAAAGTCAATGTCAAATATTTTTTACGAAATAAAAATACTTTAATGATTCATTTCAATCTTAAAAATTGTCATGTTCTAATTACGAAAGCATGGATGGTAAACAGAAGAGAGTTGTCACGATTTTAATCGTTTGTTTTTCTTTTTCATCATCCAATTCAATCATTTCCCTATTCCGGGGAGAGTAATTCTCATTCCATTCCCTTTCGTTGAATAACTATTTGCAATATCGGCAAGTCATTCCATGGTACATGATGAGCGTGTAATTGCAAATAGAGACGCGAGTAACGAATACCTCGTTTCACCTTGACTTCCGGGTAATTTTTGCGCTCGATACAAACGATCGAAGAAAGATATTAGATAATTGAATCCCTTAGAAGCAGCGATGTAAAGTAATTTTATTTTGCAGGATTCATCCTTGAAACATGATATTCGATGATAAATAAATAAAAAAAAAATTCTTTTAAAAATAGAAATGTATATATAAAATGCTTAAAGAAGATAATTAAAAATATCATAAGGAAAAAATTAATTTTTATTAATTAAAAATAACTGTAATAAACTGTATAAATATTATCTATCGAACCTTCGTTTCGTTCCATTGCTTTCGATTCAGCCTGCTTCACTTCATGCAATCGAGTCGATCAGAGAAACATTGAAGCTTTACTTCCGCAAGCTTGTCAATGATATATAATTCCAATGTAGAATTCCTTTGTGCAAATTGTTTGATTGATCTTTGATTGCTCATTGCTTCAAAATCTCGAATATTTTTTTTGAAACGGTAATCACGGCTTCTCGTTTTAAAACTCATCGCTTTTATACTATATGATGTTCGATTATATAAATTTTAATTATTCAATCAACAAATAACATAAAAAATCAATAAGTGTAAACTTGTTGATTGAACTAAAATCAAAAAAATCTATCACACTTACATCATTCAGTTATAATATAACAAGTTAAATTATTCAGCCAACAAGTAACATCAAAAATCAACAAGAATAAATCCATTACGTATATACTTCATACGACGTTCAAGTACAATAAAGTGCAAACAGCAAAGCGTTTAATCCCCTCTTCGTTAGAAGCTGAGCAAACAAACTGACGATTCAACGATCGTGTACGTACTAACCTAACCTAACCTCTATCGCAGTGTGTACATGGCGAAACAGAAACGTCAGCTTGTCTTCTTTTTTCTGTCCACATTCTCGTAGCTTGGCATTATGCCACAAGCACATCACATTATTACATTATTACTAAACACGTTTGCTTCTTTCTTGATTACGGATTTCTCGACTTGCCTATCTTCTCGATGTCCTTCTTTTGCGAATTCTTAGGACGATTTACGAACCATCCTTCGGTTTTACTATATTAAAGGATTTAAACGTAATTTGTAACATTATCTATGTAGTATATTACGAAAGAAATTTTAAATATATTTCTATTACTATTTCTTGATAACTATAATTTAATTACAATTTTAAGAACTTATTCTTAATCTTTTCTATCTTTTCTATTTTTAAATATAAATATATCATGAAGAAAATTTTGAATTTATGTTATTATTTTTTATTATAGATATATAAAAGTTTTGAATTTATCCCCGTTATTATTTTTCAATGATAACCTCACTTTGAAAATTTATTTTCAATTTTTTCTATTTTTTTTATTTTATATTTAAATTTACTTTCATTAAAATTTTGAAAAAAATTTGAAACATTTTATTATTTTTTTATATAATAATGCGGTGAGTTTTATATTTATTGATCCGTTATTTATATAATGATAACAGAACTATGAAGTTACCGTTTGAAAACACTTTTTTCCTTCGCACTCTAATTCTTAAATGGATTTCACTAAAATAAAAATTCGTTTTTTTTTTTTTTTTTTTAATAATACAGTTATCTAATTAAACTTGCGAATTAAGCGTTTATATCATTTGAATGATATTACATTGAATATATTAACTCGTTCACTAATAAAATAAATTCTTCGAATTTTTTATTTTATTAATATTTATTGAGATATTTTCTTAAATAATTAATTTAAATAATAAAATGTTTAAATTTTTATTATTAAATTTTGCCATTATTCTATTACTAGTAAAATTTAGAATTTAAAATTTATTGAACGATTTAATAATTAATTTTATTATCAGTAATAAAAATAATTAAAAATTTTTTTAATGAAGAAGAACAAATGACTTCGTATATTAAATAAATGTGTGCAAATAAATAATACATATTTGAACTAGTGCGTAACAGATAACATAGTAGATCAAATGTAACCTATTATGCCTAGGGATATCCTCTTTGTGGGTCATTTGGTATTTTATTGTAAATTTTTGCGGCGAATAACGGTTAATATAGAATAAAATAAAAGTAATTTAATGATTCATCGCAAAAGAAATTCTTGGCGCAAAATGAGCTTTAAACAACGTTTAAATGATTATGACAACACCTGAAATAGATTTTATGAAGTATAGAAATTTTTTTTCTCGTTCTTTCACCATATTTAAATTTATCAATAATAAATTTACATTCGTTATCAAATTATTCTATTCTTTTCATAGTTCACAGTTCACAGTTACAATTTATTATATTTTTATAAATTATGATAAATCTAATTATGTTTCATTTATTCATATCGTATGAATATTAACAACTAATTTAAGATATTTAAATAGAGATATATTGATATTTAAATAGAGAATTATTAATTAATTTATTGTTTTCATTTAGATTAAAATTTCATCGAAACAATAATGTTATTAGAATTGGTTTTGCTTGGATATCCGACAGTTATATAGCGTAATATAAATTCAGAGTAACATTCACGGTCGACGTGTTTAAGCGATTAATGGTTAGGCTGAAAGGCAGCAATCCATTTCGCGGTTTCACGCATCGTGACCACTATAATGTTTCCAATGTGTTATTTTTCCCTTCTTGCTAGTGACCGTGTTTCTTCCTCAATCTCTTTTGTACAATGTTAAATCTTCGTGATTGTGGATATGTAATCGAAAGTCAAACAAAAGTCATACAAATTTCTTTTATTCCTTTATTTCTTTTGTTTTTTAAACATTCATACATATTTAGAAATTGTTTCAATTCATCGTTTTTTCAATGAATTTTTAACTGGATCGAATATTTTATTATTGAATTTCGATTATAATAAGTTTAATATATACTTATGCTTCCATAATTTAGTTTGTATAATTTAAATTCATGTTTTTTCTTCTCAAAAATCAAAAATCATTTCAAAAAATTGATTGATCGAAAACAATTTTAGTAGAAACATTTTCCACTGTCACTGAAAACAATGATATCAATCAGTATATAAATTCTTAAAAGAATTATTTCTTAAAAGAAGATAATATTTTTATAAAGAAAAATATCTATATTCGTATTACAATTTTACTATTAAATTGCAATTTATACATTTTTATGTACAAAAATGTACATGATATATCAAAATATATAGTACTCAAAATGTAACACGAATTATAATATTTAAAAAATAATTCAAATCTTTATTTAAATCTCTATTTATTCTCTATTTTCAAAAATAAAAAAATAATTAATCATTCGCATATAATCATAATATAAAACTAACTATAATTCGAGAAACAATTTGCAAAATAATTCAAGCTAAGTCCAATCATATTATCATAATTTCATTTTACCTTTTTCAATATTACCTCTTAATTTCATTTCATATCACGTAATAGATCAGTTGATTAAAATTCAAATAACAAAGCTCAATTGGCATTCGTCGATTAGATTTTCGTTACTTTTAGCTCATGAGACAATGCAGGTTTGTGACGAGTATTTTACCGTTTCTCAGGTGCGTGTTACACATGTAACGGGTGAATCCGAAATAAGGTCGACTGCTATAACGGATAACGATACGAATCGTTTGGTTTTCAATGTTTTTCCAACGGCCATCGCCGTGATTACTCTTCTTGCACATCTTGTCGCCCGCATCCTGCAGCGTCACCGCATTTCGTTCTGATTCTCATCGTAAATGGTGATGGAACTACGTTAACTTTATAGAATTTCATTATTTTTATTATATTTCTTTTATTATTATACGTTATTGTTTATTAGTTGGTTGAAACATTATTTGTAATAAGTTCGTTCATATTTTTTTATAAGAACATTAAATAATGAAATAATATAAATAATTCAATTTTTAGTATTAGATAAGACATCTTGTGTCTTTTAATTGAAAATTAAAATAACTTCAAAAAAATTTCAATATAATAATTATTGAAGAAAATTTCAGATAAAAATTAAATAGTTTCGAAAAAGTATTTAATAATTTGATATAATTTATATATATATATATTTTTTTTTTGTAAATATAGACGTAGAGAGTACGTGAAGATCAATTTTGCTCATCTACATTTTCAATTTATATCACGATATTAAATTATAGTTGTTTTAATTGAAACGAAACTTGAATTTGTAGTTTAGTAAAAATACTTTGAGAAATATAATGTAATGGATAATTATTCTGGTGATTTATTTCAGAAACTTAGCCATCTTCTGCAATAATTAAGAAACATGCACTTAAAAGGAACTTGCTTTGGTAATTATTTCAGGGAGGTCATAAAGGAAACGGATGTGTGTAGCACTATTTATGTTTTAAAAACTAGCTCTTTCGTTTATGACCGTACAAAGACAGTTCATTAAATAACTATTACAAATTGTATAGCACTTACTTCTGCATGGTACTCTGATATACAGATTCTTTAAAAGGTGAACGAACTTTTCGTATATGAGCTTGAAACGCGTGAATAGATATTTAGAAATATGCTGAATAGATAAAATTTTCGGAATTAAATTTATAAATAAATCTTAATAATATAAAAATATTTTCTGATAAAATAATTTAAATTCTGTTAAAATATTATAATCTAAATTCATATTAATAATAATAATATTAAAGAAATTTAATCTAACCTAACTTAATACATTCAAGACAAAAAGAATGAAAAAATGAAAAATGAAAGAAAGTTTTTTACATATCCGACTTTTCTTTTGTATTTTGAATTTCAATGTATTATTAATTATTTTTTTTTTATTCAAAATCAATATTTTTTGGTTTCGAATATATTAAGATGATTGTCTCTGTCGATTCACTTTGTATGCACGATAAATACAAACACTTATTATCTTTTTCACAACAAAATACATTCTCGAAAATCATTGAAGCCAAGAAAATCGACTACAATTTTCTAACATTATCGATGTTCTAACAAGAATACAGAGAAAAAAGTAATAAATATCTTCGATACTATATCGATCATATCGATACTTCTTGTCCGAGCATATGATCTGTTCCACTTATTTCGCTTGATTGCAGCCTGAAGCCGCGTTTCCATGATCCGTTCGCAGTCGAAGGATCATCACGGGCGGTCTCTATTCTCATGCGTTATCCGATTAAGGATTTCCCGCGTGTTCTCGTTAATGCGAATTAGATCTGAGATCTTTCTAGTGAATATCGAGAGTTTGGTTGAAATATAAAATTGACGGAAAGAATGTGGAAAAAATTTTGATTTAATCACGATTGGAAATCTTTTATGTGATCGAATTGATTTTTTAATTCTAATTTCTATTTATGTTTCTGTCAAACTTATATCTAACTTTACTGTATTAATTAATAAAAAAATAATATATATCATTATTATTTATGTATATTTATTTAATATATTATAAACTTATAAAATCTCCAATCCATTTGAGTTTTATTATTTTATTATTAGTATTCGACAACACATTCCACAACAATCCTGCTAAAAAACATATCCAACAATAAATTCTGCCAAAAATATAAAAAATTATAGAAAATATAAAATCCAGATTTAAATCTAAATATCAAAAAATTGCATAAAAAGATTTTTTCAATTTTTGAATATCACGATTTCATCTTTAGTATATAAACTAATATATTTCTAACCTGTAAATTCACGAATGTTTTTGATACGAAACTGATACAAAATGTATAGAATGAAATTCTTCCCAAGAAAATCTTTTTTTTGTTAGATGTGTGTGATGATAAAGTGATTCTTCCTGAGGAGAAGTTGAGCTATCTGTCTGTTCGGTTGATCGGTCAACGTACTCTTCGACTGTTTATTCGATAGACATCGCGTATATATATAGATATATGCATACATACAGATAGAATCTAAACGCCTAATGACAATTCACTATGCACTGAGATCCGAGAATTGTTTCACAGAGATGGAAATATTTTTAGCGATTCAATCGAATCAATTGTTGCTGGTTGGAATAAAATATTAAAAAATGTTTTCAAAGAAGACGAAACGATTGTTTTTAAAAAAAAAGAAACGTTTTGATCTTTCTGAAAATAGATGGCGCAAAATTCGAATTATATATGAGCGGATTTCCAATAAGATCTTGCAAAGGATTTGTTTTGAAGAAAGAATTGTTGAAAATTTAAGATATTGGTATTGAATAACAAAATGCTTCAATCAGATAAATTATCGAATAAATGATTATCATTATTATTGACTATAAAATTAGATTTGAAAAATTTCAGAAAACAAAATTTAACTTTTTGATAAAATAAATTTAAAAAAAAATTAAAAAAAAAAAAAAAGAAAAAATTAAATACTAGTCAGAATAGAAAAATAGCGGAATCTTATTTTATCTAATCTTATTTAAACAAAATTTCTACTCGATATCACATATTGATATAAAAATAAATATGATTGCTTTTATACGTTATTCATATAATTGAAATTACGCACAAGAAAAAGCGGAATTAAAACATAGCAATTAATTATCGCATTTTAGATTCTTCTTCTTTTCAATTTTGAATAATAGATAGATATTTTAGAATTCAAAAGTTTCGAAATCTGCAAAATTTCTGTATTCTATATTTAAAAATTAGATTTTGATCCAATTAATTATTACTAAAAATTCTGCAAAAACGAATAAAAAAAACTTTAACAAACATTTTTTGAATTCAAGGTACCGTTTTTATACAGATTTCGTTCTGTATTTTCACTCATTTTTAATCACTTTAGTTCAATTGAAATTATCATTAACCCGATTTAGATACGCATCATCAAGATCAATTGCAACCTGATTTCTGGATTTTAACATTGCACACACGTCTCGTCAACCGTGCAGAGAATTATTCTCACATTGGAAGAAAGAAAAAAAAAAAAGAAATAAAATACAAGAAGCTACTTTGGAAATGGAAGGAAATTGAAGAAGAAAAAGAAGAAGAAGAAAAAGGTCGAAAAAGATTTCAGTGTCGAGCAGGATTTTAATTAAAGAGTTGGTGCATAATGAGGGAAGTGATACTGGACGTTGTCGAGAAGCATACTAATTGCAATTTAGTGCATCCCGTGTTTCTTCTTCTTCACTCACGATTATGCTTCTTATTATCTTCTTACACGAACGTTTTTATTCGCAAACTAATTTATTTCAATGTTTTTCTTTTTATAAATGATGATGAATAGTTATTAGTTATATAGCAAAGTAAGCTGATAGTGATAATGTGAATATTTATAAAAAATTAGATTTTTTTATAAAAATTACTGTACAATGAAAAATAAATATTTGTTTTACCTTTTAAATATCATAATTAAGTTTTTAGTTTTCAGTTTAATCAGAATTTCTATGCGAATTCCCATATTGAAAATACGAAATCTTTCTTATTTTATTTTTTTCTATCACTTTATAAGATTTATATATATCTGATGTAGAGATTATCTTTAAAATATATAATTTTAGAATCCTTCATAGCTTCTTGAACATTGATAAATATTATATGTTTTAATTGATATTAGAATACTAATTTTTTTAACTGTATCACATATCTTTACAAAACTTAAATTGTTTATAAATTAATTAATACTTTTAACATACTATTTTTATCTTTGTTTAATTGCTTATAACTATGGATTTTTATGCCTATTTTCTATTAAGATCAGAATTGTAATGCGAATATCCAAATTGAAATTAGTGAAATTGCTTATAAATTAATAAATATACTTTAATATTGATATTTTTGTATATTAATTTTTGAAACTTTTGTTCGAAACTCTGCAACCGATTTTTTAAAACTGTTCCACGAATACATTAACACCCTGTATAGAAGCACAAACGAATAAATATAAGAATAAACGATTGTAATAATCCTTATAAAAAAAATTATTAAGAAAAGAATGTACCTTTATTGCGAATATACGATGTCTGTTTGGATAATGGACGATTCCACTTGGACTAGAATCAGTTTGCACTCCTTCTGGAACGAGAAATAGAATTTACGTTGGTATAAAATAATTAGAAGATAATTGCAAGAAAAATACATAGAATAAAAATAAAGCAATACTTCAATAAAATATTTCAATAAAATTAATAGAAGATCATTGTTTATTATAAAATATATAAAGGTAAATAATGATCTTTTATGTGAGCAATTCATAATTTTTCAAACCATCTTCGTTTTTCTTCCAAAGATAAAAGTTACGACCGCTTTTACGACTGTTTCAGAAAAATATTAAGGATGCTTGGATAATTCAACCATATTTTCAGCCTTTATTGCCACAGGTTTAAACGAGGTATAAACTTGTTAACAGATTATTTTCAATTCAACACTTTAAACAAGTCATTTTACGATCTATATATATTTAATTATTTATTTAATTATATCATTTAATTATTTATTAAATTATTTAATTATATCATAAATTATTACTATACTTACTATTATTACATATTTTTTAGAGACTCTTAGAAAATATAATTTTAAAATTTCTTCCAATTTCTAAAAAATAAAAATCTTTTTCAAAACAAAAAAATATAATCCACATTATAATGCATATTATTACAGTATGTATCTTCATGAAAGATTAAAAACTCACTGAAAAGAATGCAGCAAAGAAGAGATGAGAAATTAAATCTTTTACTTTTTTATTCTTTAAATCCATAAGAGATGAAGATGATGAAATTTGAAAGTTCACATTCCATTATCACTATTGGTTTTAATCGAATATAGCTATTATTAAGTTAAATAAATTAAAAAAAAAAAAAATCGACAAGTTAATCGACATTCACCAGGAAGAATCTGGTTGATATTTCTAGGGAAGACTTTCTCCTCTTCATAAGAAATCATGTGTTATGGTTTATGATCAAAGGTCAAACACTTCAGATTTGATTATTGAAATGAAAATCGCGAATCTGGTGTAAATATGAAAGTCAAACGAGTTTCACTTCTTCCTAGTTTTTCGTAATCAGTGTCTTCGAACTCGTCCCAATCATTTTCACACAGGAGTTCAAATAACATGGAAGTTAAAATAGTGCAAAGCATAAATGTCGAAAGTACTTGAAATATCTTCTTCCTCCCTTCTTTTTACGTAATGTTTTGATATTAAATTTTCAAAAGAAGATTTATACATCTTTGCACGTTTATTTTTCAATAGTTAAAAGTGCATTAATAATCCTTTCTCTCTTCCAATCTGAAAGTTAAAAGGGGAAACGATGCAATTCGATTCTATGATTTTTTTTCTTTTTTTTTTAAATTATTTAAATTTATTTTTAGACGAGTCAAATAATATAAATTGTAATATTACGATTATATAAAAAAAGGATTATGTGTAAAAAATATCTATTTAAATTATAGGAAAAAAAAAATTTATATTTATAGATAAATATAAATTAAAAGGAATTGCAATTCTGACATGCATGATTCAGGGTCAAATTTCTTTTTCCTAGGAATGAAGAAATCTTGATTCTATTTACGCAATTCTATAATTTTATATTTTTCATTATTACCTCTAAAAAAATTTTATTAATATTTATAATTTATATTTATAATTTTACAACATAATGGAATGATAATGGATGAATATAATGGAATGAAAACATTAAAATTACTTATATAATTATTTTCTTAATAAATGAAAAATATTTACCTCTAATATTTTCCATTTATCAATACAAAAAGGATAGATATCTATTTCAAAAAAGAAATCAAATTAAAACAATAGATTAGCTCATTAATAAAATTTGCATAAACATAATGCACAAACATAATTTCTATTCACAACTTATATGCGTTTATCATTTCTAATTAATTGCACCAACTCTTAAATTAAACTCGTTAGTCTCAATCAATCGATTCAACAGAGATTCTTGTATTTAAATGATCTGCTTCCATTCTAAAGGATTACCACGAATAGTTATAGAGTTTCGATTTACAAAGCGAGTCTCTCTAGTAATCGGGTTATAAGTAGTAAGCTATTAGCTACTAGCTATCAGCTAACGTAACATTGAATCGTGATGAAGACATTATAAGGCATAGAAACGTAAGATACATGCAATGTGTGTCTCTGTCGATACTGTTCGATATGATAATACCGATCGGGAGCAATGCTAGTCGGAGCTCGTTTTCGATCCGTTTTATTTCCATCGAACGAACACATGAAACTGAAACTATTACAAATGAATCATTTGATAGAAAATGTATTAGAAATTTCGATCAAAGAAAAATTGATTAATTTTATGTTAATACTTAAAATTTTTCACAACGTTCCAATTTTATTTCAATGCGAATGATGCGCATTTGTCACAAAATCTTCAAAGAGAATCCAGAGAATAAAAAGATTTTGGGACTGGAGATAAAAATAAGGTAAAAAGGTAGAAAAAAAGCAACATGCCATTAACACTTCTTTTTAACGACACGTCGAAAATCGGATTAACGATGGCGGTGATTAAGAGGTCGGCAAGATTCTTGGCCAAGATCAATGATCTTCCGAGGCGCAATCGAGGGCCCTCGAGGTTGCCGTCGGTCATCTAGAAAGTTGCCGCTCCCATCGTTACAAAAAGAAATAAAACGGGAGATGGATCGAAACAAGGATCAACGTCTTCTTGCTTTCTTTCTTGTAAATTGCCTGTTTTTATACTCGTTTTGTATCGTGCCTCGAATACGTAACATTTTTGTCATCTCTCTGAAATTTATTTATTTTTCTTAAGACGAAGTAGATTATAAATTACAATAGAATTCTATTTATATATGTAAAAGCCGACAAAGAATGAGCAATTTATATGATAGGTTCGTATAGTAAGAATCCACTATTTTTAAATTTTTGTTCAAATAACTGAAGTTTTTGTTCGAATAAATGGATATTTAATCATCTTATCTTTTGGATTATACAAAATATTAATGTATTTAATACGGTATCTTTGAAGAATTAATCGTGGAGATCAAAAAAACCGTGTAAGTTGGTATAGAAAAATTTCGATTGAGATTTGTTGAATTTACTTTTGTTGAGTTTAACCTAGATGAAGCAAGATAAAAATAGAGTGTACAGTATTACGGAAACAGAGGAATCTCATTCTCCCTTCATTTCTTATTTATATTCAATACCGCACAAAAAATTAAAAAAAAGTATCCAATGATAGATATTAATTTGATAAGTAGAAAAAATTGTAAAATGTAACGAAATCCAAAATATTAATGACAATTTGTAAAATCGAATTTTTATTCAAAGAGAAAACTGGATATATGGAAAATTCTTTTCTAACCTGTCATGTTTCCTGGAAAAGTTCAATAAGAATAAGATAGGAAATTTGTATGAGTTTCACTTAGTTATATCGATGAAAATTTCGTTTCAATAAATGAAGTTCTATTGTAAGTATTTTATAGTGTTTCTTCGAATTCTAATTGATTCCTGAAATAAATAAAAATGTTGCCGCAAGTTAAATTTAAAATTAATGATAATCAATACTGATATGATAAATAGCAATTTAATTATCAAAATCAATTCGTTATAATAATATTAATATATTTTATACAATAATTAATTATACAATAATTTCATTTTATTACCTTAATCCTGTGTTTAATCGTGCAATCTAATTGTATTTCTTCTTCTTCTTATAAAAATAGGAAGTAAAAATTTCAATCTGCTGTTTCTATCTTCAGACTTCATTACGATCTAAACACTTATTCTTCCACCGTGTATTTATAAGAACTTTAATATACAATAGAAGAATTAAATTACACATTTCATTATTTCAATTTCACATCAACTTAGAACGAATATCTTTTTTTTCTCAAGGAACATAATACACTTCCTCTAAAAATAAAAGAAAGCCATTGCAATTGAATATATCAATGTTTTAAGATTTCATCATTCTTTATTATTACATATTATTTTTTAAAGATAATGTATTCCATAATAATTGGAATACAATATCTTTACTAATTAATATATGAATGTCTTTATTTTCTTTTTCTTTGCTCAATTAGTCCTCTTTCTTAATCTTCAATTCTTTCTTCATAAACATTAAATAAATAATCATAATAATAATATTTCTTTCTATCTCTTTCTCGTCACGTTCACGTAACAAATAAACAAATTTTTCAGAATTTTTTAACTATCTTCAATTTCTATAAAATTTAATAATTTTTCTAAAATCATAAAATTAATAAAACATAATATGTAAATAACAATATTTTTTAAAATCATAAAATTCAAATATAATATATTCTCATTTCATGCAAATAACAACAATAAGTGCTTAATTATTACATACATCGCAAATCATACATTACGATACAACAAACAATTTTCATCGATTCAATAACGAATAATTATTGAAATTCGAAAAAATAAAACATAACCTCTATCATAATCTTATATCTTCGCCATAAGTGTTTTCATCGAACGGTTAATTTCAATTCCGTTAATTGCGAGAATAGAATTGCAACATGAAGTTGGTCAGTCTTCATGGCCTCAAGTATAACAGATTGGTTATCGAATTGAATCAATCTCGGCCGAAACCGATAACGACCTCTTGATCTTTGTCGAAAGATAATTAGACATTTAATCGCGCGAAACGAGGAATTTCGAGAAATTATAGTGATCATTAGAGGAAAATACTTTATGATTTAATTAAAGGTGGCTTGAATGGTTTTGCTTACACGAAGAATCCTCTCCTTTTTGCTTTCTCCTTCGTTCGTGGATCAACCGTTCACCGATCATTGAAAATTAGCACTTTCCCATAAGACATCTAGATTTCTAGTTTCCTGATTGATGGGCTTATAAGATATTTTTATTTATTATTATGAATTTTTTATTTCTTTCCTTTTTTTTAAACTGTATCAATTTTTTTTTTTCGTCAAGAAAACTTTTTCCCTTTTAAATTTTATTACTAGAAAATTACAGGAAATTACTAGAAATAAAAATCGAAATATCTAGAATTTTAAATATTGACATACATTAAGAATGTAAATTATAA